ACACACACACACACACACACACATAAAGCCTCCCCGCCCACTTGCCCGGACATGTTGCTGTCTGCCACCTTTGCTCGTCGGATTGCCACCCACACGACCGCCCCCTCCCTCCTCCGTACCATTATGACCCATCCGATGCCCGCCTCCGATGTGGTTTTCCGCGTGAAGCGCCTCTCGCCCCAGGGCCACCTGCCCATGCGCGCCTCCAAGGGCGCCGCCGGCTACGATCTGTTCAGGTGTGCAAACCACCCGCCCGGCGCACCCGCTCCCTCCCCCACCCCGCCCACTTACCACCCGCCCCGTGTCCCGCCCCGTGTCCCGCCCCGCCCCGCCCGGCAGTGCCCGCGACATGGTCATCCCTGCGCGCTCTCGGGCCCTGGTCCCCACCGACATCAGCCTCGCCCTGCCGGAGGGCACGTACGGTCGCATGGCCCCGCGCTCCAGCCTGGCCCTGCGCCATGGCATCGACGTCGGTGCCGGTGTCATCGACTGCGACTACCGCGGCCCGCTGGGGGTCATGCTCTTCAACCACAGCGATGAGGACTTCCAGGTGGTCGCCGGCAACCGCATTGCCCAGCTCATCATCGAGACTATCATCACCCCGCCGGTGGTGGAGGTGGACGTGCGTCCCCGTTGCCCCCCCCCCCCTCTTTCTTCTTTCCATCCTCCCGCGCCTGCCTGCCATGGGGCACCATTCTAACTAACCCCGCGCGTGTCAACAGGACCTGGACGATACTGAGCGCGGCGCCGGTGCCTTCGGTTCCACTGGCGCTTGATGCCCTGCTCCCCTCCCCCCCCCCTCCCAAGCCGGGTTTTTTTGTCACCCCTGTTCAGATAGATGTTTTTGTTTTTTGCCCTTGTTTCTGTTTTTTTCGGCGACCAGGCCCGGCAATGTGCGTGTGTGTGTATGTATGGCACCGACAACAGGCCAGAGGGGGCTTGTATTTCAGCCTGGTAGGCAGGTGGCGGGTCAGGAATTTGCCTGGCCGGTGTCCTCGTGGGCGGTGGCTTCGGTATTGACCTCCACCGACTCCGAGTCAGCCGTATCGCCGGGGGTGCTGGTGTCAGTGGTGGCGGCACCGGTGGTGGGAGTGACATGTGCATCGGCATCGGCCCCGGTGGCCGCATCGACTGCGACATTGGCGGCACCATCAGCGGGAGCTTCTGCGGTAGTGGCGGCGTCGGTGGCGACGACATTGGTGGTGATATTGGTGGCAGCATCAGCGGCGACGTCAGCGGCGGCATCAGCGGCGGCATCAGCGGCGACGTCAGCGGCGGCATCAGCGGCGGCATCAGCGGCGGCATCAGCGGCGGCATCAGCGGCGGCATCAGCGGCGGCATCAGCGGCGGCATCAGCGGCGACGTCAGCGGCGGCATCAGCGGCGACGTCAGCGGGGGCTTCCGCAGTGGTGGCGGCGTCAGAAGCGACATCCGCGACGGCATCCGCGCAAGCAACGGAAGGAGCGGCGGCACCAGCAGCGGCATCTGCGGAAGCAGCAGCCACGCCAGAGACATCGGAGGCGCCGACGTCAGCAACAGCAGCGACGTCAGCGGCAGTGACACCAGAAGTGGAGGACGCCGCGACGCTGGCAGCGGCGGCAGCATCCGAAGCAGCAGCCTCCGAGACCTTGCGCCGCTCGGCCGATCGAGCAGCTAGGTCGCGCTCGAAGTTGGCACGCTCGAGGGCGTCAATCTCGGCACGCTCCTTGCGCCGGTCCTGGCGCAGCTCGGCCATATGCTCGGACGCCTGGAGGACCTTGGTGATGCGTGTGGCGATTTGGTCGATACCTGAGGCAAGGAGAAGCAGGTGAGGGAAGGACACACGCCGAGGGGGGAGAGAGAGAGAGAGAGGGAGGGAGAAAGATGGCAGGGGAGCGGAGGCGAGACGAGGCCCCCGGTCGGGCGGACCGCCGGCCACGAGCCTGGGCCGGGGCAAGGCGGGCCGCAGGAGAAGGAAAGCAAGGGCCGGCTTGCACACGTACGGGCCGGATCGCTGAGGGATGTGAACACGGGCGCCGGAGCCCCCTCGGCTTGCGGGCCGCTGATCTGCCCGAGCCGGGCACTGCACTGCTGCAGCGTGGAGTGTGCCTGCTCCAGGTACTGCACGGTCTTCGAGTGCTCATAGTCGGCATTGCGTGCGAAGGAGGACGACGTGCGAGACAGCATCTTCGAGTGGTCAAACAGCAGCGAGTAGATGGAGCCAATGTCTGCGCGGCGAGTGGCCCGTGTGGGGGGGCGGCGCAGTCGGCCGGACGGGCCGGACGGAGGGGAAGAGGGGGGGGGGGGGGGGGGGCAAGAAGGGCATCGAGGGCGTCGGGCGCGGGAAGGCAGTGCGCGGCACATGGGCCCCAGCCTGGCGGCGGCATTACCCTCAACAACTGGAAGCCAGAAATCGTTGCTGGACCCGGACAGCTGGCCTGGAGCGCCGGGGTGCGACGGGGTGGCGGCTGGCCCCGGGGCGCTGGGGCCGGATGCCCGGCTGGCCGCGGCGCTGGCTACGCCGCTGCCGCTGCTGCTGGTGCTGCTGCGGGAGGCCATAATGCGTGCAGCGTATGCGTGGGAGAGGGGGCAAAGGGGGGGGGGGAAGGGGCAAACAAGCAGACACAGAGAGGGGTTGACCCTGTTCCGGCGCGACAGAGAGGGGTGGATGCAAGGAGGAAAAGGAGGGGAGGCCTGGATATGCGATCAGTCGCGTCTCTCCCCCGCCCCGTCCGCCGGGCGCGATCTCTTGTGCCTCCCAAATAGCCAGGCAGATCATGCGCCCTGGCCCGGCAGATCACCCGATCCTCCAGGGCCCGAGCCGAGCGCCGGCCTTAACTCGGCGCTCCGCGGCCCCTCATTCTGAAAGGCGCGGCGCATTGCCGGGGGGAGGATCTGGTTCTCACGCATGCTGGCGCCCCGCGGGGTGCTGGTGCCGGCGACCCCCCGCGCGCCGGCTCCCCGGAGGGGCCTCTGCGCCGGTGCGCCGCGGCTGTTGCGCCGCAGCTACCGGCGCTCCCTCCTCTGGGAAAGGCGACGCGCGGCACGGCACGCCGCCACACAATGGTCATGCTTTCGGTCCCAGCCCCCCCCCCCTCCCCCCCCACACACACGCCACCCGTTTCCGGACTTGCCAGCTTGGCTTCTTCGCGGTCGCGTACGTTCGGCAGCCTGAAGCCTGGTCGACCGGGGCCTGGAGCCTCCGGCGGGACCGGGGTGTTCGCGCACGCATTTCTCCAGGTGGGACATGCCTGAGCCCAGCTGCCCCCGGCGCACGTCGCCCTCCCGCCCCCCCCCCCCCCTACCTACACCAGGCCGTGATGGAGAGCCAGCGGGGCCTGGGGGCGCGGGCGCGGGCGCGGGCGGGCAGCCCGGCCGACGCCGGAATGCATGTAGGCCGCGCGCGACCGGACGCCGCCCGCCGGGGCTGGCATGCCTGCCTGGCCCTTCTCTTCGGCCGATGGACCTGCATCGATACCTGTGGCCGAGGGGGGCCCCTATCCCGGGGCACCTGTGTCTCCGGTTTCGGTCAAGATGCTCGGGCTGTCGTGCTTCTCTCTCTGTCTCTCTGTGCCTCTCTCCCTCTTGCACCCGGGCCGAATGGTGCCCCTGGGCCTAGACTGAGGCCAGCCTCCCCCTGCCCCGGCTTCTCCGTCCACCTGGGAAGTGCGCGCGCGCGCGCGCGCGGGGCGCCGGGCGCGCGGTCGGGCAGCGGGAGGCCCTCGGGCGGGGGCACAGGGGGGGGGCGACCAGAGGGCACCCGACTTGGAAGGGGCGGGGGCGACACAAAAATTGGACAAGCAGCGTCGGCACAATTGGCGTCTGCATCGCGCCCGGGGGGGGGGGGGGAGCGGCCTGGCAATCGGACGATATTTGGGTGCTGTTGTTTTTTTTTTGTTTTTTTCCATCCCCAAGCGCGCATGCTCTCTCTCCTGAGGCCGGGAGCGGGGCTGCTCACAGGGCAGGCTGTGCGCGCTGCGGCCGCCTGCCGGGCATGAGGGACGCGTCCTGGGCCGGCCGTCGGGCCGAGAGCCCCGGGCGAGGGCGCCCTTCGCCTTGCCAAGACACCCGCACCTAACAACCAGGCAGCCCTGCCTCTCCGGGCGCCGGCCGGCAGACAAGCACACGGGCAGGCACCGCGCCACGCACACGGACAGGGGATGTGTGTGTGTGTGTGTGTGTGTGAGCGCCGGGGGGGGGGGGGGCTGTTCAAAAATGCAGGGAAAAAGAGCCCCTTAAAACCACCAACTCCTGACACCGATTGAGGCCACAATCGTGGACGATCGCCCGGCCCGCGCGCCCGAGAGGAGGCATCCGCTCGTGCGGTGGGCGGACGGGCGCGCGCCCTCATGCGTACAACACGTTCACGCGCACACACACATACACACATATAGAGAGACATAATGTGAAATAGGCCTGATCCATGGGGGCCAGGTCCAGCCCCCGGCGGCCCCTCCTACCCCATCAGGGGGCCTCCGCGGGCCCGAGGGCGAGGCATGCCTTCGGACCGGCGCAGGGGCCGCGTCGCTCGCGGGGAGCGAATGCATCCGGCGCGCCGGCCCGCCCGAGGGCCCCGAGGGGCACGGCGTCCGTGTGTGGCGACGGACCGGCGGCCGCACACCCGGCGGCACAAGAAGCCGGCCGCAGGCCCCGCCAGCCATGCGCCTCGCGCACCGCGGAGGCCCTCCGGCCCCGGGAGGGGGGGGGGGGCAGGCCCTCCATCCCAACATGCGTGTGTGACGACGGGTGCCTTTCGGGGATGCGGGCGCCTGCGCTGGCCCGCGGCCTCGGGGCGGAGTGGGGCCCGGCGGCGTCGCGCGTCATGGGGGCACGCCAGATGCGCCGTGCGCGGGGTCCCCTGTGCGGCCACACGCAATGGCCTTGCCTGGTGCGTGGAGCCGCTAGACCCGGCGCGAGGGCCGCCTCGAGCGCAGGTGCGCTGGGGGTGGACCCCGGGCGGGGCAGGACAACCTACGGACGGCGGGGGGCGGGGGAGCGAGAAAAGCCGAGCGCCCGGGCAGGGAAGAAAGTAACCCACAGTAGCCGGGGCATAAAGGGGGATGCGGGCGGCAAGAGGGACACGAGACCGCGGCGGCGGCGGCGGTGGCGGCACCGCCGCCGCCCCAAAACACCCCCGGGCCGGCCGGCGGACAGGGCCGGCGCCGAGAAGGACGGGGTGCCGCGCACGCGCGCGCGCGCGCGCGCACACACACACACACACGCTCACGCCGACATGCGTGTCATCGCCGCTCCATGATGAGCCGGGGGCTAGACCAGGCAGCAGCCGGCAGTGGCCGCAGGTGCGGCGAAGGCGACTAGCCCGCCGGGCTCTCACGGGTGCGGCCAGCTGCGCGGTCTATTGCTCCCGCCCCTCCGCCAGGCACACACCCTCACACACTCCCACGTACCAAGGGCGGGGGGGCGGGGCGGGGGGGGGGGGGGGGGGGGGGTCTCGCGCGTTCCTGTCCCCCCCCCCCTGGGGGTGTGCGGATGCGCGCGCGCACAGGGCGGACGGCCAGGCCGGGCGAGGCCAAGATGGAGAAGGGGCGTCGACCGGCCATTAAAGGGGGGCGTCGAGCCGGCCGTTGTGGGCAGAGCGTCTGTCCGCCAGCCACCCCTGGCTTCCCCATCCCCTCGCCCCCTCGTTGCAGCACCTGCTCTCCCGCCCCATCCTGGCGCCCATGCTCGCCGATGCGCCACCCAGCCCTCCAGCGGGGATTGTCCAGATCGCATGCACCCCGGGCGGCAGGCTGGGTGGCGAAGTAGAGTGCGCACCGGGCGGCAAAAGGGGCCTACCCACCGCCGGGCAACCGGGCGGGTGAGGGGTGGGGCGGGGGGCGGGGGAGGGGGCATCCCCGAGGCGGGCGACAGGGTGTGGCATGGCCCCGGCGGATCCCCCCTCCCGGCAATCCGCTCCTGCCTGCGCCCCCTCCCGCACCCCCATGCCGGGGCCACATAAAAGGCGCGCCCGTGCCTGGCCATCCCTCCTCCGGGGGCCGCCACTGCCCCAGACACCCCTGCGCCCCTCCGCACGCATCTGCACGCACCCGCACGCCTGCGCCCCTCCCAGATCTCCCGCCCGCCCTTTCGCGCCCGCCAGGCCCCGCCCTGTCTGGTGCCCTTTCTCGCCCCTTCCCCTCGGCTCGCCGACTTCCATCTCTCCCCTGGCCCCCCGCCCCCCCTCCCCCCTCGCCGCTGCCACCGAGGACCCCTCACCTACGCCACCATGACCGACGGCATGATGCGCTCCGAGCAGATGGCGCTCACCCAGATGTACATCCCATCGGATGCGGCCCACTCGACCATTTCGGCGCTGGGCATCTTCGGCATGACCGAGCTCCGTGACGTGCGTCCCCCTGCTTGCCGCGTGTGTATGTGTGTGTGTGTGTGTGTGTGTGTCTGTCGCTTCCGCTCTCATCTAACTTGTGGCCCCCTCGCTCTTCCCTTCGCCCCCCCCCCCTCCCCCTCACAGCTCAACAGCGATGCCAACCCCTTCCAGCGCCGGTACACCACCCAGATCCGTCAGTGTGACGAGCTCGAGCGCATCCTCCGTACGTAGTGTCCGTTCTCCACCCGCCTGGCCTGGTCTGCCCGCGATCTCGGCGGCCGCCGCTGTCCATGCGCATTCCCACGGTCAGTCAGCAACTCACCCTCTCGACACCCACGCACACGCACACGCACACACGCGGCAAGCAGGCTACCTCAGGGAGGAGTGCACCGCGGCCGGACTCCAGCCGGAAGAACCATACAACCTGCCGGCCGACTGGACCATCCAGACGCCGCAGGTGCTGACCGAGCTCGGCCAGCGCCTGGCCCACCTGGAACGCGAGGTCCGCGGCGGGGCCACCAGCGAGCAGAGCCTCCGCCGGAGTCGCCACGAGTTGCTGTCCCTGCGGGCCATCACCCGCGCGGTGGACCGGTTCTTCGAGGATGAGCCGGCCCAGGCGGCCATGGGGGCCACCCTGCTGAAGCCGGCGTCCGTCGACAACCTGGACCACATCCAGCCACGCAACTATCGCTTTCACAATGCCCAGGCGCAGGACGACCACCATCTGCTGCTGGGCACCGGGGCCGGCCATGCCGAGGCCATCGAGCTGGGCGACCTGACGCAAACCGAGTCGCCCACCCTGCAGGACATGGACTCCTACTCGCCCACCCTGCAGCCGATCAATCCGTCCTCGCTCAGGTAGGTGCCCCTGCGGCCGCGGGCCCCGTCGGCTTTTTGGCCCCCCCCCCCTCCCCCCCCTGACCCGCTGCTTGCCGGACTGTGCTCCGTTCTAACCTGGCCGCTCTGATCTTCCCCTCGCCGTTGCTCCGTGCCTGCCTCTGCTGCCTTGCTTCACCCTCCCCTGCTGCGCACCGCTCCCGGGGCGGGCGGGGGGCTCTGTGCCGGTCCGCGCCAACCCTGACAGCTTCATCTGCGGCATCGTCGAGCGCACCAAGCGCTCGGCCATGGAGTCGGTCCTGTGGCGCTCGCTCCGGGGGAACCTCTACTCCAACTTCTCCAGCTTGGAGGTCCTGATCCAGGAGGACGAGGACCTGGACGCCGATGTGGCCAGCCTGCACGGGCCCGGCCCCGACGGGTCCGCCGACGCCAAGTGGCTTCCGGTGCGTCTGCCCACCTGCAGCTCCCTCCGCGTCGCTGGCGCGGCCTTGCACCAAGGCCCGGGGGGGGGGGGGGGGGGGGGGAAGGGAGCCCCCCTCACCTCCAACAAACACCCACACACAAACACACACACCCACAAGTACAAACAAACACGCGTGCTCCCGCCGCCGATCTCCCTCTCCCACGACCCTGTGCCTGGTTGACTGGCAGAATGTCATGTACGATTGCTTGGTGGTGCTGGTCAAATCCGGATCCCTGCTGGACCGCGCCCAGAAGGTGGTCACCGCGTACGTGGCCCAAAGGGGCGCCCCTCCTCGCCCCTTCGCCGTCCGTGGCAAGCTCGCTCCCGCTCGCGCGCGCGGTGCTCCTGCCTTGCCGCCCGCTCTCTGACTCCGGACGCCCTGCGCAGCTTCGGTGCCTCTGTATACCCCTGCCCGGGAAATGGATCCGACCGGGAGGAACTCCGCAGCCAGATCGGCATTCGCATTGACGACCTCCGACGGGTACGCCATCGCCATCATCACCATTCACAATCCGGCCCCCTGTCTGCCGGGGCCGGCGCCGAGGCCGCCCTTGCCCATCTAACACATGTTGCTGGGGGGGGCGGGGGACGTGGTGGGACCACGAAAAAATGGGGGGGAAAAATCATCATGCAACCAGGTCCACAGCCAGACGGTGGCCCACCGCAAACGCACCCTCGCGCAGGTGAGCGAGGCCCTGCCGGAATGGCAACGCCTCGTCGCCCGGGAGAAGGTCACCTACTCCGAGATGAACAAGCTGTGCTTCGATGTGACATCTAGCTGCCTGATCGGCGAGGCGTGGGTACCACGGCGCGACCTGCCCGAGCTGAGCAGACGCCTTGACGAGGCATCCGTACGTTCACCGAGCCCCGGGCTTTTGTTGGTGGCCCTGCCCTCCTCCTCGTCGCCGTGCCTGACCCATCTCACATGCGTATGCCGCCGCCGACAACAACACCTCGGCACCCATGCCCTGCCCTGCCCTGCCCTGCCCTGCCCTGGTGCAGGCCAAGGCCAACAGCGAGGTGCCCACCATTTTGCGGACCCTCTCCACCCGGCAGACACCGCCCACCTTCTACCGGACCAACAGCTTCACCTCCGGCTTCCAGGCGCTCATTGACTCGTATGGCATCAGTCGCTATGGCGAGGTCAATCCCGGCGTCTATGCCATCATCACCTTCCCCTTCCTCTTTGCCGTGATGTTCGGCGACCTGGGGCATGGCTTCATCATCACCATCATCGCGCTGGCCATGATGGCGTACGCCAAGCCGCTGGCGCGCCTGTCCCGCGGCAACGAGGTGCGCTCGCCGTGTCCGCCCGCCCGCCCGCCCGTCCCTCTTGGCAAAAAGGGCCCGCGGCCCGCGGGCCCATTCCCTTCTCGCCGTGTGCCCCTCTCGCCCTGGCTGACAAGAGGGGAAAACCCAAAAACTCGCCTCGTCCCCCCCCCCCCCGCCCGCCTTCGCGGCTGATAGATGGTCGGCACCTTCTTCCACGGCCGGTACATCATCCTCCTGATGGGGCTCTTCTCCCTGTACACCGGGCTCATCTACAATGACATCTTCTCCAAGGGCATGCCTTTGGGCAAGAGCGGCTTTGACTTTCCCCCGCCCGCGGTGCGTGCCCCCCCCCCTCCCCCCCCCCACCCCCACCCCGCCCTTGGGGCTGGCATCCTGCGCGCCTCCCCTGCCAGCCGCCAAGCTGACCCTCGGCTCCTATGTGTGCTCCCGCCCGGCCCCCCTCTCGCCCCACCTGCCGACCTCTGGCGCGCCCTGCCGGCGGGCCGCCCCGTCCCTTCCCCCTCTGTGGCCCTGCTGCCCGTCGACCCTGCCCGCGCGCGCGCGCGCGCGCGCGCCGGGGCCCCTCCAGCCCGGGCAGCAGGTCGTCCACGGCACCTTCAACGGGCACATCTACACCTTCGGCCTGGACCACGCCTGGCACGGGTCCGACAACATGCTGATCTTCATGAACTCCTACAAGATGAAGATGTCCATCGTGCTCGGTGTCATCCAGATGCTCTTCGGCATGGGCCTGCAGGTGGTCAATTATCTGAACATCGGCGACCGGCTGGACATCATCATGGATTTCATCCCGCGGCTGCTATTCATGGTTTGCATCTTCGGCTACCTCATCTGCATGATTGTCTACAAGTGGACGGTCGACTGGTCGACCCGGCCCACGGCGCCCTCGCTGCTGAACATGCTCATCAATATGTTCCTCTCGCCGGGGCACGTCCCGGCCGATGAGCGCCTGTATTCCGGCCAGGTGCGTGCGCGAGTCTCGCCTGTGCCGCCCCGGCTACCCGACAGCCCGTCTGGCCGCGCCCTCCCGCACGCACGCACGCACGCACGCACGCACACACACACACACACACAATAGGCCACAGCAACCGCCAGCACGACCGACACTGACACATACCGAACCACCCACCCCCTGTGCATGTGCACGCGTAGGAAACCGTCCAGCTGGTTCTGGTGGTTGTGGCCCTCGTGGCCATTCCGTGGATGCTGCTGACCAAGCCGCTGGTCCTGCGCGCGCGGCACAAGCGCCAGCTTCGCCGCAACGCCGGCCAGGGCCTGCTCGGGACCTACACCCAGCCGGGGCCGGTGGAGGCCCCGGGCGGCGATGCGCTGTCCTCCGACTCGGATGATGCCAGTGCGTCGGACGTCCCGCTGACCGGGCTCGGCCCGGGGCCGGCCGCGCTTCACCCGAACCCGGGCCCGGAAACCGCGGCACCCCTGATGGGCGCCACCGGCGGCCTGGCCCCGGTGGAGTCCAGCCTCTCGCGGCGCCTGGCCGTGGCCGAGGCCACCGACGGGGCCCTCTACATGGACATGGAGGCCGGGGCCGAGGAGGAGTTCGACTTCGGCGAGATCTTCATCCACCAGGCCATCCACACGATTGAATTTTGCCTGGGCGCCATTTCCAGCACGGCCTCCTACCTGCGGCTGTGGGCCCTGTCGCTGGCGCACGCCCAGCTGTCCACCGTCCTCTGGGACATGACCCTGCAGATGATCCTCAACCTCGAGGACCCGATCGTGGCCGGCGTGCTGCTGGTGGCCGGCTTCGCCGTGTGGATCACCCTCACCGTGGCCATCATGTGCATGATGGAGGGCCTGTCGGCCTTCCTGCATGCGCTGCGTCTGCATTGGGTGGAGTTCAACAACAAGTTCTTCTTCGGCGATGGCCGCGCCTTTGAGCCCTTCTCTTGGGAGCGTGTCTTCGATGAGGAGTGAGCCGGCCCATGTGTCCCTGCCGCCGCCTCCCCCCGCCCCCCCCCCTTCCCCGGGGCGAGGCGGCGTGGCCATGCACATGCGCACGCATACCCACACATACATACAGACACACATTGTGTACATGCCCTGCCCTTGAAAAATATACCTACGTATGCGTGCGCACGAATTCCACCCAGGTGAGCATGAGCGTGTGTGTGCGCGCGCGCGCGCGCGCGCGAGAGAGAGAGAGAGAGAGAGAGAGAGAGAGAGAGAGAGAGGAAGACATGGCCAGCAGGGGGTGCTGGTCGCACGTGTCTGCATCTCTTGATGTCTCAGTGGTCGGTCGGCTGCTCCTTCTCTTTCCTTTTCATCCTCGCCCCCCGGGAGAAGGGCACGCCCGCGCGCGGAAAAAAAATCACCCACAGTTGCTTGGTGTGGGAGATGCAAATGCGGGTCGGGGTCACGTGCGCTGCGTGCGCTTTTCACGCATGGTATGCACGCTGGCCGATCGAGGCACGGGCGCCGGCGCGGCCTTCTTGTGCCAGCACGATCCGCCCGGGGGCCAGGCCTCTCGTTCATTCGCATCCGAGCCGCCACCCGACCACGCCCTCTGTCCCTTTCTCCGCCCCCCCCCCCACACACACGCATTCCCTTCCCTCGCCCGCTGCCCCATCCCTTGCGCCCCGGCTGCATTGGACCCAGCCCAAGCGCCGCCCCCCCCCTCCACACACACACACACACGCGCACACGCGCACACATACACACGCAGGCAGAGTGGTACAGGCGTGTAGCCACACGTGCCAGCACAGCCACAAGCACGGGCACAACCACAAGCACCAATGCTCCGTCGTAGCATGAGCGCCGCCCTCCGGCGCGTGGACCATGGCCGCGTCCTGCCGGGGCTGGCGGCTCGCGGACTCGCCTCCGCGGCCGGGCCGGGCCCGGCGCCCCCGGCCCCCGGCAGCAGCTCGACCGCCCCGAAGAAGAACCTCATCAGCATCAGCGAATTTACCCCCCGGCGGAATGTCCCCTCGCCCGGGGTGCGGATCCCGCGGATCTTCCTGCACAGCGCCGGCGGCCGGGCCCCCGGGAGTGCCCTGTCCGGCACTCTGATCCCCGGGGCCAAGATTGCCCTGGACGAGCGCAGTGCTCACCAGATCACCCGGGTGCTGCGGTTCCGGCAAAATGAACTGGTGGATCTGTTCGACGGGGCGGACGGCTTCGACTACCGGGCACGTCTGCTGCCGAAGGAGGAGTTCCCCTCGGTGGAACTGGCCCGGCGCATTGCCGAGATGCCGTTCATCGACGACACCGGCAAGGTCCAGCGGAAGAAATTCCACACCCGCGTCCGGGCCCAGAAGGGCCGGCCGCGAGACACCTACGTCGAGGTGTTGAACCGGGTGCGCACTCTTTCCCCGGCCCCGCCTTTGCCCTGCTCCTTCCCTCGTTCCTTTCCTCCCTGTGCTCGCATCTGGATGTTCTTCCGGGGGGGGG